TGCTTGTACTCTCTCTCACTCTCTCTTGCCCACGCTCTCTCTCTCTAACAAATTAAAAAAAAAAAAAATCTTTAAAAAAAAAAAAGCTGGGCTTTGAAGGATATATAGGAGCTGTCAGGGGACTATGGTTTTTTCCAGAAGCGGCAGAGACCCACATCTGCAAGCAAACGCTCAGAGGCTGAAACAGGCATGGTGCTTTGGGGGTCAATTAAGGAGTGATTGGATGTTTAAGGAGAGAATACTGGACACTAGGTAGGGGCCATAGTTGGAAGGTTGACCATGTTAAATCTTTATCCCCTAGGAACTGGGGACCATGGGAGGTTAAGGAGTAAGGGACAGAGTGGCCAGATCTGTTTGACCAGGAGAGCTGTGTGTTAGGCCAGAGCTGGGGATCAAAACAGGAACTTTTTCTTCTACCTCGAACTCCAAGGATAGATTGTGCTCCTGGTATAGTGACCGGCTTAAGAAACATCTGTGGGAAACTCAGGCTTCCCTGTTAGTCTGCCTCGAAATAGCACATTGGTTGGGAGGCAGAAAGTCTGGGGCTTTTTGACTCTTTAGAGGGTTTATTGGAAGAATCTGGATATTGGCAAATCCTTCTAAATTGGGGAATATCCATTTTGCTTGTAACTTACCTGCCCAGCAGGCTGAAGACGGGAGTATTAGGAGAAAAATGCCTTGAGTATGTCAGCAAGAATGAGAAACAAAAACCAAACACTAACTCGTAAAGGGAACCTCAGTTTCCCCTTTCATCCCTACCTTTGTTGTGAGTATCTACTGGAGGTAAAGGAGAGTGTACAGGCTTCAGAGGTCTCACCAGGGTGTGCAGAAGGGATTACTATACACTAGCAAGGTGACCTGATCAGACAGGAGACATGCTTCCTGAAACAGTCCCTTCCATCTGTCCTGTCTAGGGGACTCTGCTTGTGGCTGATACCGATTCACTTACCTCCTAGCTTTCAGCGAGTGTATCTAGAGTTCCTTCAATATCTCTGTAAGTTATTTACCAATTTTAGCTTTTAACTGGGTATGCAGATATAGCATCTGAGTGTCGCAGTGGTTTGGCCACCATTCAGTAACCTGTTGATCCAATGCCAGTGAGTACAGATTCAAATATCATAGGTGACATGGGTTTTAGAACCCCACTCAACCCCCCTGGGCTGGACAGGTTTGACTGTTGGCCCTCATTGACTTTAGATCATTGCCAAACCTCCACCTGAGGCTCCATCCATATATCAGTTAGTCTATCTATCTACCTACCTACCTATGTCTCCATAAAGAGCTATTTCTCTTGTCTTTTGTTCTGTTTAGATGATATCATGTACGATGGACATGAAAAGAAACATAAAAGGATGACAAATGGTCCTCACGCTTTAGGGTATCATTATAAAAATTGTGCGGTATCAGTGAAAAATGCTCTGCTAGGTATAATCAGATGTCAAAGGGATCCTGGAAATGTGAAGTTACTTTTTGTTGTTGTGAGGTTGTATTTATTTCCTCCTTTTCCTTTAAGAACAAGTGGAGGACATTTGGGAGGGCAGGTTGCAACATGCTGAGTTGTCTGGGGTGCCGGAGAAGACCGAAGCGATTCGAAGAAGTATTGCATCAATGGTATCGTGGAAAACAATTAAAAAGGTGGACTCCCAGTGTACGTGATTCCAGAGAAGCGGTTTGATTGATGCTCCTACCCTAGGTGCCCTCCTCCTGCCCAGCTAAGCTAACTGGCTCTGGGATCCTCCTAGATATTAACCCGAAAGAGTTTCTGTGTTTATGCTAACATGGCAGCAGTTGGTTTCCTCTGGGTTTTGACTGCAACCAGGGCATTGAAGCTCTAGTTACCTTCATCAGGATTTAAGAATATTAGTTTTTTTTTCAGGAGATGGTAAGAAATTTACTCAAGATTTACTTTTTTGTTCTAAGGTAAAGGCTTCCGAAGGGTGTTTGTTTCCAACTTCCGTTTTAGTTTCACTTAATATGAAAAAAAAAAAGGCTTTATTTTCATACAGCATTCTGATTTAACAGTAGTTCCTTTGCATTTTCACAGGTAGACCATTCCATGATATATTCCACAGCATTCATTAGGTAGAGAGCTCTTGGTAGTTTTATATGAAATATTGTTGAATGACTCTGCACGTGAACAGTGAATGATAGTTTCATAAACAAACTTTAGGAAGCATAGATTCAGTTTAGCCCTATAAAAACATGTCACTGTGGGTGTCTGGGTGGCTCAGTCAGTTAAGTGTCAGCTCAGGTCATGATCCCACAGTCTTGGAATTGAGTACTGCATCCAGGCTCCCTGCTCAGTGGGGAGTCTGCTTCTCCCTCTGCCTGCCGTTCCCCCTGCTTGTACTCTCTGACAAATAAAATCTTAAAAAAAACAAAACAAAAAACATACCACTATACACTAGCCTCTAGAAGGTGCTAGGAAAATATGAAGAAATAGAACACATAAAATATATAAGTAAAATGATAGAAGAATGGAATACATAAACTAAAAAGGTTTGTGTAGGACTGGATGGTGTCTGTATGTTTGAGAGAGGAAGAAAGGTGGGGGCGAGAAACTAGAATATGGGCTACAAATTCACTTAGGTATGTGTGGTGGTGTGTTGAATGGGGCTTCAGAAGCCAGAACATACAATAGAACAGGTAGCTGACATACCCTGTTAAATTTAGATACTCCCATATATCAAAATACAACAGGTACCATCACTCACTGATTGTTTTAATAGTTTCCCTGTGGACTCGCTTCCAAGGCAAAAGGACTGCCTCACCTGGGCTTTCTTATATGTAAAGCAATTATATGTAAAAATTGTTAATCTCCAAATATGAAATAACATTGCATACTTCTAAAAACTGGAACAATTTTGGAATGGAAAAAAATTATTCCCTCAACCATCCTACTTGAGATGGTGAAGGTTCCTGTTTTAATAAACTGAAACAATTATTTGTAGGAAGTTAAGCAGATTTTCAGGTAGAAAGAGTATTTTGCTGGAAAGGGAATTTTGCTGGACAAGAAGAGATAGACTGAAAAAGTCTGTTGATGTGTAGGAAACACTATTGTTCATCTTGTGTGTTTGCGCACAAGTTAAAATCTAGGACATATAAAATTAAATGTCGTAAGAAAATGTAGTAAGAAGGCATCTCAATTGTTAGGTGCTCTTTATCATACAGTATAAACGACTCTGTAATGTGGTAATGACAGGACACCTCGGCACTCAGAACTGAGAGGTACGAGAGTAAATAGTGTTAGCTATTTGTGCATGTTGACAGTTTTGTCCTGTACCATTTTCAGAAAATCTTCCTTATTCATTTTGGATACTGAAGCTTGCTTTTTCAGGCTAGAAAAGGTTAATGCAAGTGATGTTTCCCTATGACATCAGAAAAATTTTAATTAATATGTTCTGGTATTCAGGGATGTTTCTCCTATTTGAGGTAATAGGCACTTAGCAAACATGAAGATGGTATCAGCCATTCAGTAAACACTTTTCATACACAATCGTGTGCCAGAAGTCTCTGTTTAAGAGAAAAGTGGATTACAAGAGCAACAACCACAAGGTAACACAAAAATGCATTCCAGTGTAGGCTTTTTAAATGGCTTTAATTGCTCTTTTAAAAAATCAAGCCTAAATATTTGCACCTGCATTCTTAAAAAGTTTTCCCATGTTAAATACTTATTTGGAAACGGTAGAAAATTTAAATGGAGAAAACCAGTATTAATATTTTAGCATTTCCTTCCAGTCCTTCCTCTTAAAAGCTTCTGGTGCTTCCCTCTCTCCTTCAATGCACACACACCAACTTATACAATTGGAATTATGTTTATACTCCTAGATCCTGCTTTTTCCACTTAACATACCATGAGCATTTTTCCATGTCATTAAATATGCCTTGAATATGTTCTTGGCCACATAAAATTCCATCCTATTGATGCACCTGTTTTCTTTTAAGCTAAGACACATGCCATGTTTTCGTCATGCTGGACTCTTAAAAGCCAAGGAAAATACTTTGTGTTGATCCACCGTGAGGCTCTTATGAATTTGTTTTCTATTTATAAGATGCACCCACACTTCTGGATACTCCATATAATGGATAGTTAATAAGCAGCCTAAAGAAGATGTCAGCTTGACAATGTTGGTCACCCACATCACCATTACAAATGTATCAAGTGCCAACAAGGGTCACAAATGCTTTTTCCATTTTGTAACCCCCACAAACAAAATTCAAACTCTTGTGTACTGACCTCAAAAAAGGATCAGTGCAGTTTTAAAGCTGAGTAACTTCAGAAATATGCGACCAGCTTACAAAAACACCACTTAAAAGATGTACTTAAATTTACACTTAAAAGTTTTGTGACTGAGTGGTTTCTAACATGTTTCAGTCTGCTTAATCTAGAGGACAGATGAAGTTTTAAAACATTCTGCCAGAAAATTTGGTTCTAACCTCGAGGACTACAGCACATATCTGTAACACACAGGAAGCATAAATGAATACTTTAATCCTCAGGAGGGCACTGTGGAACTACATTCTTAGGGTTCTCTGCTGTGGGAAGGTTCTTTTGTTCCTCAAACTGTTCTGAGTGCAAGGCCCAGCCCCTGAGAAAGCTTTTTATATTTTCATTTAATTTTAAAGAGAAACCATAAGGATCTTTTAAAATATGAAACTGGAATGTTGTGTATTTTATACTTTCCTATAAAAAACTGAGCATACTGAAGAATGAGCAGTTTCTAACTGGAAATTCATATTCAGGTAAGGAAATTGCTTTCATGTACTTTTTATGCACATTTGGAAAGAGCAAACCACCAGGTGACGTTTACTATGATCTCCAATATTCAGCTTTCAGTGTCACAACTTTGATAGTACTCACTGTAAAACTAGCCTTAAGTCTTTTAATCTCTTGTTGAGATAAAAGTTTGGCCTTTCAGTGTGCTTTTCACATGCCCTGTGTTTTAAACTGAAATTTCTATGACATGCTTTTCCAGGGGAGAAATAGAACAAAAGCAATGTTCAGATAAAATATTATAGGTTTATTTAAAACTTAATTCTCACCTTGAGTATGCAAAATACAAACTCCACAAAATGTTCATTTTTTACTTTGTAGTTTACAAATATACAAAATAGAAGTTTGCTTAAATTTATATTACATATTTATTAAGGCAAGGAACTATATAGAAAAAAACATTTGTTCTGCTTAAGGCATACTTGGGAATAAACCATTGTACAAATTATTGCACATCTGAAACCACAGTGCATAACAGACTGTCTGCATAAAAATGTTAAAATAAACCAGGCGTATTTACCTGACTTAGGTCATAAATGTAGATCGGAAGACAAAAATAGATTTTCCTTGTCAAAGTATGCAGCAGTTTGAGAACTTTGGCTTCCTCATTTGGTACCTTTAGAACCAAGACTCACCAAGCACCATCGTTTAGGTTATTAAAAACACATTTTCTGTACCTGAATTTCTTCCTCTTCTTCTAATATCGTAATAATGGCTTTTAGAAGGCAAAGAGAATACAAGGTGATCTTTATGCTTATATTGCATCGAAACACAATTCAAGGGAATTCTGGTCTTCCCTCCCCCCAACTCATGGATCTAATTTATACCCTGATATCCACACCTTCCAGTCATCCCCTTGGTGTTTTGTAAGTCCAAGAATATTCAAGTTGGCTTTAGCATTGGAATGATAGAAGATCCAGTCACAGACCCCATCGGTTCTTTGATTTGTCTTCTGGTTTCTTTGTGTCTCCTGATTATCCATTCACAAGTTGGCTTGTTGGGAACGTGACCATGATTGTAGTGCTTTCCAGCTGGGTTTCTCCCCCCAACCCCCCGCCCGGGGCCGGGGGGGGGAGGGGGGGAGACTGTGAAAGGTCAAAAAAAAATACTGAATTCTCTTCTGGCAGTGTGGGTCATATCCACTGTTTGGGGATTTAAAAGTGCCTCTTCATGTGTAAGGCGAGGTGGTCCGACCTGGAGAAGGCCCGGTCGCACTTCTGGCACTGGAAGGGGCGGTGCCCGGTGTGTTTGCGATAGTGCCTGGTCAGTTCGTCGGAGCGGGCAAATTTCCACCCACAGCCGTCCCAGTCACAGTGGTAGGGTTTCTCACCTGGGGGAGGAAAAGAAACCGAGGTGAAGCCATTGCTACCTAACGCAAAACTGGCCAAACTAGAGGCCGAATATCAAACCAATTCCCTAAGCACCGCACTCTGAAAGGAGCCAGCCATGATTTTAGACCACTTCAAGGCCATCTTCAATTTCAGATCATAAATAGGAATATTAAAAGTATTTCTTGCCCTTTTTTGGGGGGGGGAAACAGACTTATACTTCCTACACCTATGTATCGCTAACATTTTCATTCTTTTGACCCGAAGTACCATGGTGATGGAAGTAATTAGAACGGTCTCTCCCGTCCAAACCAAGTGATCACATCCTATATCCCACTACAACTGGGTCGAAAAAGCCGTAAGCGGCTACTTTTCTGCATCAGCATTTCTATTATTTTAATGAATCCTACACCTAAATTACCTTATGTACCCATACTTATATGACATGAAAAATTCTCTCCAAGTGACCATCTTAAAGCACAATCATAACCATTCAATTCTTGAAATTCAAACAGAACCTACTTATGAAGGCTAGAACTAAAAATAAAAAAGGGAGTGTGCATCTGGGAACAACCAGTGAAAATTGCCTAAAAATTAAAAAACTGATAACACCTAACATACTTTTGCACTGCAACGTGTAATTTAAGATTTTATTTTTAAGTAATCTCTACACCCAACTTGGGGCCGGAGCCCACAACCTCAGGAACCCACAACCTCGTGATAGAGTTGCACCCTCTACTGAGCCAGCCAGGCGCCCCCGAAGTGTAATTTCTTGATTACAAGGGCAATGTTTTGCTCAAAGGAGGAGAGGCCCACAAGCGGCCTGGAATCTCCCTGCCTTTCAAAAGCCTAACAGAACTGCACATTCAAGCACTTGATACCATCCATCAAGCAAAAGGCTCTCGGGCAAAAAAGGAGGCGCCAGTTTGGTTTGCTGTTCTCTCCTGTGATCCAAGAGATGGAGGAGATAGACTGTGCCCCACATCCCAAGGGAGGCCCTGAGAAGTGCCCACAGTTAGCCAATGGGCTGCACACCAAACCCCTCCCCCCCACCGCCCCGCGCAGCTTCTGCTCTCCTACCTGTGTGGGTTCGAAGGTGTGCCTTGAGATGAGAGCTCTTCGTGTAGGTTTTGCCGCAGCCTGCATAATCGCAAGTATGAGTGGCTGTCCTTTTCCGGGGCCACGACCTTCTCCCCCTCTTTGGTTTCGGCTCCTCTGGCATGCAGGAACCGGGAGGCATGAGCTCTAGGGGTGAAGAAGGTGGGGTCAGCATCGGTCCCTGCGCCCCGGAGAGCCGGCACACGCAGGGCTCCCCAGCCCGAGCTATGAATCCCCAGGACTGACCTTGGTAATGGAGCGGTGGGACCTGTGGCTGCATCTGGTCCGGCAAATAGGGTGGGTAGTTGGGCCCTGGGTGGGGATGAAAGCCCGGGGGGAGCGGTAGGGCAGGGTGACAGTCCCTGCTGCTCAGCAGTTCCTCAGCACCCAGGGTCGGGGTAGTCCTGCTGGGGAGCTGCCGCCCCAGGGGGAAATCGTGCGCTGGCGGCCGGTGGCCATTGCTGAGAGGGGGTCCAGTGCCCAAGTGGGCCTCTAGGGGCCGACCGACGGTGCACGACGAGACCGCCTCCTGCTTGATCTTGGGGCACATGCGCGGTGGCCCGCCGCTGTAGGGCGCCACCACGACCGGGTGGCTGCCATCCGGGCTGCCTTTGCTAACACTGATGACCGACGGGCTGCCGTATTCGCTGCCAGGGGCACTCAGCGACGCCTTCAACACAAACTTGCCCATCAGCCCGCCACCTGGCGGCTGCGGCTGCTGCGGCGGAATGTACACTGGGTCCAATTCGGGCCGAAGGAGCTCAGCCACGAAGCCGCCCGAGGGGCTCACGTCGTTGATGTCCGCCAGGTTGAAGGGAGCTGTGGGAGGGGGCACGGACTCCCGGCCATAGAGGAGGCCGCCGCCGCCTGTGCTGCCCGGCGCCACGCCCGGGTCCCCTCCGGGCCGGATCGGATAGCTGAAGCTGCAGGTGGAGGGCGCGCTGGCAGGACCGCTGCTCGATGGGGAGGACGAGGATGAGGCTGACGCCGACGAGGACACGGTGGCGGCCACGGACTCCGGATGGGACAGCGAATTGGAGAGGATAAAGTCCAGGTCCAGGAGATCGTTGAACTCCTCCGTCTCCCTCCGGGGTAGGAGAGCAGGATTGTTGCCGCCACAAGCCGCGCCGACTCCGCCAGTTTCCAGGTCGGTGCCCACGGTCGCGGCCGCCAGGTCATAGGGGCGGCCGGGAAGCACCGGGGGAAGTCGCTTCATGTGGGAGAGCTCCTCCCGCCAGCGCTGCGGGAACAGGACGGGAGAGAGACCGTCGGTGCCGGTCCCCTGCTGCCACACTACATACTGGCGGGCCGGCCGCGCCTATACCGCCCAGGCACCGGGACTGGGCAGACAAAGCGCCGGGGGACTCCGGGTGCCAGCGCTGCAATCTCGGCCCACCCCCGGGCCCGAGGAGAGGCGGTGCGTCGGTTTGGAGGATGTTATGTTCTGTCTGCCCGATGGCGTGTGAGCAAGGGCCGCGGCTCGACAGCCCGGGTCCTTCCCCAGCCAGATCCCGGGGACGCTCCAGCCACCCCTGGAATTGGGACACTAGGATCTCCCTATGCGCCCTCGCCACGGGTACGCCTACGCGCCAAGCTCACTCGGGCCCAGCCCGTATGCAGGGACACATCCACCTCCCGCCCGGTGGCCCCCGCGCCAGCCCTGCAGCCTGCGAGCTAGGAGACGTGTGCCGACGGGGTGTGCGCCCCCGGCGGCTCCGCAGCGTCCGGACCACACGCTTGTACAACTAAGCCAAGGGCGCGGAAGCCATCCTAGGAAAACTGCGGGGCCAAGTGCGGTGGCCACTCCTTCCCCTCGCCGGGTGGTTTTGGGTGACCCCTGAGCTCCGTTAGTCCTCACCCCACCCACAGAAGCCCACTGGACGTCCCCGACTTTTCGCGGCAGTACTCACGTTATTCGGGGCACCTGCTGGACGCAGTGTCTTCTCCCTTCCCGCCGGGCCGGACGCGAACGTGGAGAAGGACGGGAGCAGTGCGTCGCTGACAGCCATGTCAGACTCGCCAGGTGGCTGCCTGCGGGCCGGGCGGGGCACAGAGGCAGGAGTCAGGGGGCCACTCTCGACCGCCGCTCGGGCGCGTCCCACCGGCCTCCGGCCTTCACCCCTCCCTGCGCCCCGCGCCGCACCTACCTCATTAATGTGGGGGCCCAGAAGGTCCTCGGGAGTCCGAAGCAGTGGGGTTACCCAAACCCCAAAGTCAACGAAGAGGGAAAAAAAACTTAAAAACGAACCAAAACCAAAAACCCCAAATTGCCCGAGATCCTTCTTTGGATTAAATATAAACGGGAGATGCCTTTTAAAAAGTTCCTTTGTATACAAAAGTTCTTAAAAGTTGTAAACTCGTAAAAACAGACAATCAGCAAGGCGAGTAAGTAGGTCCGGTGGCCGAGCTGCGCGCTCTTCGACTCAGCAGCGTCCTCCACCACTGTCGCGGTCGCCGCGGCTGTCGCCGTGGGCGCTGGGGCTGTAGCCGGGTTGGCGGGCGGGCGGCGCCGCCAGGTGAGACTGGCCGCGGTGGCGCGGATCTGCGGACTGGGCGGCGGCGCGGGGCGCGGAGTCCGGGGGGCTGCGCGGGGCGCGCGCGGCCATGGGCGCTGGCCGCGGGCGGGTAGGTGGGTGGGGGGCCTGAGGGGCGGGGAGGGGCACTTGGCGGCTCCCGGTGCCGCCGCCGCCGCCGCCGCCCGCCACCGCCTCTGCTCCCCGCGCGCCCGCAGCCGCGCTCGCTCTCTCGGGCCGGGGAACTGCCGGCGGCCGCCGCGCACTCCTTACTTAACTTCTCGGCTCCCGCCCTACCCCCGCCTCCTACCCGCTGTACGCCGCGGCCCGCCGCCAGGCCCCGCCCCTCCCTTTCTTCTCCCCTCCCTCCTGCAGCCCCCCCGCGCGTTGCCATGGCAGCTAAATAAACAAACTCGGCGCACGTGGGGGCGGGGGAAGGAGGGGCGCGGGGGGAGGGAGGGGCGCGGGCGGGGCCCGGCAGAGCCGTGACGCCAGCCCGGCAGCTGGCGGGCAGGAGCCGCGCTGACGCCGGCGGCGGCGGCGTCGGCGGCGGCGGGCGGCGGGGGCGCGGGGTACTGGGCGCAAGTCCGGTCGCCCTGCGACCGGGGCAGCCTGCGTCGCGGTGGTCAGCTCCGTGGGTTCGAAGCCCGTGGCGGAGGAGTCTGGTAGGGGCTGAGGGGTCGGTTCCGCTCCCCCACCCCCGCTCCCGTCCGCGCTGTCTGCGCGCCAGAGAAAAGCGCGATTATCCGCGTGACTCATCCAGCCTTCCGTCCCTCTCCGGCGCACGCAGCAGCCCGGCGCTGGTCTCGGAGCGCCAGTGCGTGCGCTTGGCCTGGCCTCGCGGGGTTCTTCGTGGGTTCTCCGGCTGGGTGGGGTGGGAGGCAGGGAGAGGTGGGTGCCCGGCTCTGTGGCGGGACTGGGAGCCCGAGAAGGGCTGAAAGGGCGGAAAGCTGTTGGGGCGGGAAGCGGAGTTACGGTTTTTATATTTCGGGGAGCCAGGAAGGGAGTGAGAGAGCTCAAGACTGACTTTGTGGGATGGAGGAGGGCAGAGGGGCCGTGAGGCGCAGACACCTTTCAACCAGGGAATCTCAAGCACTTTACAAGCCACGCACCCTCCTTTCCACTTTACGGATGGGCAAACTGAGTCATAAAAAGGTGAAATGGCGAGGTAAAGGTCAGACGGGGAGCTAGCTCCCTTGGCTCAGGTTCCGAGCGGTCAAGCCCACCGAGAGGCACTTAGCTGGAAAGTGGCCACATACCAGGAAGTGGAGCGGTGCGGTGGGACCCCGGTTCCCGAAAAAGGCACCACGAGCTCGGCGGCAGTCGTTCCTGCCCACCGGGAAGAGAAGAGGAAACGGCGATCGTTATTTCAGTCTTATAACTTTGCCTCCCCACCCCCACACTCCCCTAAGTTTGTGATCAGTAATTTTCCAGCCGGGAAATGTTTTCGCCCTCATCTCTACAAACAGTGACTTTTTTTTTTCTTTCCCAAACGTGAGTGTGGTGTTCGGTATCGCCTGCTAAACGTAGGCTTGCGAGGTGTTTGGTTTGGATTGAGGCGCACAGAGCCGGGCTCCACCCGCCTCCACGGAGGCTCCTCCAGGGAACCTCCTCACCAGTAAACGCTGTCGATCCCAGGAAAGACAAGGGGAGGAGGAAAAGGGTCGAAGCCCCAACACTGGACGGAGTGTCCGCTCACTGTCATTGAGCTCTCTAGTTGCCTCATACTTTTAAGTCGTTGTCACCTGTTTGAGTTGTGCGATTATGGTACCTATTAGGTTTCCTCAGAGTATTTGTTAGCCCTGAATTTCCACTTCTTGCCGACCACAGAAGCATTCTTGGAATGCACCTCATCCCGGATGAATCCACTCGGCCCTCTCCGCCAACGACAGGAATCCCTCTAGATCTAGAGAGTTGGACAAATTTGAAGATGACTTCCATCCTCCGGCCAAGGCTTCCAGCGGGGGTGTGTTGAGGGGGGATGCTTTGGCAGGGAAAGCCCGACCTGGAGGGTTCAACCTCACTCCATAGGAGCAGGCCAGTTACTTTTAACTCTGAAAACATTGCCCTTTTCAAAGGAAGAAAGCAAGAAAGGAAAACACCTGCTACCCCTACCCCCACTCCTTTCATTGTGATGGCAAAAATTTCTTGGTATGCTAGAACTCAAGGATTGCATGAAAATGTTATACACTTTTCCATCAAGGCCTAAGTTCCTAAACCCCAGTGGACTTGGATGAGGCCTTGATTGGTAGCCATTTCCCTAGGCATGTAAACACCTAAATCCGGACTTGGAGTTTCTAACTTAAGTAGTGAGTGCATGAAGGTTTCTTTTCTGCTTTGCTCTTCTTTATCTAAAGCAGTAACCCTTCCCCTTCAACAAAAGTAACCACCACAATGAAAAAACAATATTACACAGATGAATTGGAAAGACACTATTCTTATGTCATAAAATCAAGACAAGATTCTGAAATTCAATTAAAAAGGTGAACTTGTAGTTTCCAAACAGCCTTCAGGAGGAGTAAAGCCAGTGTCGCTTTGTGGCAGGCAACGATCTAGTTATTACTCTGATTGCATCATAAGGTGAGATCTCTATATTTGCCCTGGATTTCTAAAAGTGGTAAGGAACTTCAAGTTCACAAATCATCTCCTTTCAAGGCAGGTGCCCGGTGTGACAACAGGGTTATGACCCTCCCTCTTTTCAGAACAGGTAGGTCCAGAAGAGTTAAATCCCTGCCCTGTATAATTTATAAACATGAGGCTGAGTAAACGTTTGATGACTAAATTGCACTCTAAAATAATAATAATAGAAGACACCCTTTAAAGAAGAATTACATACTGGGGACTTTATTTCAGCAAACTGATATTACAAGTTTTGTGGTATGGATGTTAATTATTAATGTCCTTGGAGTTATAAAATAGATTTTTTTTTCCAAGCACGAACTGCATTAGTTGGCAGAAGATGTGATGGAAGCTGTCAGTGTTAGGGGATTGGCATGGAGACTTGGAGGGGTGTGATAGACTGAAGAGGCTCAACATGCTTCAAACGAAGGACTCTGCACCCAGGACTGAGCACCAGATGTGGGCAAATAGAGCTCCTCGGGGAGCCTGGCTGCACCCTGGCCTGGGGTATCTGCAGAACTGCCACAGGACTCAAGAATAGCTGGGGTTTTTGTTTGTTTGTTTTTTATTTTTCAGAAGGTGGCAAGGCTTTTCTCAGCCTCCACTTTCTTTCCTTGGAAACTCCAGCCTCTTTTTCACCTCGGTCACATGTGAGATGTTAAGAAAGTGTGCTTTAGCACGAAATCGGCTGGGTTTGTGTTCTGGCTCTGCTGCTTTTAGCTGTTCAGGTTATTTGACCTCTCCTGTTTCTTCTATAGAATGGGGATAGTTACGGTACCTACTTCTTAAAGTGATGAGGATTATAAGTGGAATTATCCAAGTAAAGTATTTAACGTAGGCCCTGGCGCTCAGTGAATGATAGGTATTACTGTCACCAGTATTCTCCAGGGCACCATAGGCTTCAGGAGGGCAGGAGCTATTGTCTTGTTCACTGCCATATCCCCACGTCCTGGTACAGTGCCTGCCTGGTACACAGTAATGCTCTGTGTTTGTTGAATGAATGAATAATGGACTTTAGCAGGAAGGTGGTCTTTCTTTTCAACTCTCCCTTGGAGGCTTATGAATCAATCCCCTTTTTTGTCAAGAGCTTCCATCCACCCAGAGTCTTATCCTGATTTTTCTTCCATTGTTTCATCACCCTTCCCCAGCTTCCCAAACCAGATACCTAGATTCTCCTCATTTTCTTTGGCCTGGGCATTTAGGCTTCCCCAGAGCTCAAACACTTCCATTCCTAAATGACGCCGCTACCTTTGACAACATTGCACCGTCTTGGTTCAAGCCCTCCTCATTTATGGCTTTTAATCATTACGGTGGCTTCCCCCAGCTGTTGTCCTGCTCGTCCCTTTTCTCCACCGCCTCCCCCAGAGCCCCCCTGGAATTTCCCTGCTAGACGGAATCCATTTTTATCCCAGATCCCTTCTTAGTCTTCTGTACCACACTCCTCGTACTAGGGCCCTCGACAAACTTTGCAAACTCATCTCTAGAGACTGACCCCACCCTCCCTAAACTTTAACTGGATGTTCTCTCAAGTCTGAATACACAATGTGTTTTTCTCCACTGGCTCTTTTTCTGTCTGAAAGGCGGCTTCTTCCCTCGGTGACCCTCATCATCCTCAAACTGCAGAGCCCCTTTTAATTGTCCCTTGGTCTGTCCGTCCCCATCTAGGTTAGTCCTCTTCCCTCTGAGCTCCAATAAAGCTGGGTGGTGACTCTGCTATGCCATTTACCCAGGGGACTCCGTGATCTGGTGACTTGTTCGTGGGGCTCCTACTCCACTGTGGCATCTTTAGGACAAATGCCCAGTGAGTATGCATTTTCGAATCAAAGGAGCAAAGCTGCCTTGGTAGTGATTCATCTGGAAACCCTGCTCTCTCCTATCTCGTCCGTAACGTTTCTTTCTGGTTCAGAGTTCACTGGCTTGGTTTTCTGTTTTCCAATCCCTCTCTTCCCTCCACCCCCTTCTTTTCTTCCTTTGAAAAGCGCTATGAAGGAGACAGAAAATAAAGTCCTTCATTACTCTGCCCTCACAAAACAGACAAACAGGGAGAGAACAGTCCTGGCCAAGGCATTGTAATAAAATAAACTAGAAAACACAAACAAAAATAACCAAAAGCCAAACCAAAACCAAATGGAGAAAGAGTCAACTCTTTTCTGTAGCCAAACCCATTGCCTTTCAAAACCCAAACATTGGGTATTGAAGTTTTTAGAGCAGAAAATGAGTCACAGACATTTAAAAATCAATTCTCAGAAATTTAAAATCTTTCTCATGAACCTTTAGGTTTGATCACTTAAGTTACATTTTTAGCCCCCAAATTTTAAGCTCTACTGTCTTTAAGCTATTCAAAAAGAAATTCTGAACTTAATGGGATTATCTTAAAGCTGTTTGAACTGGTGGCAGTTGGCTAAATTCAGGTTTTCAGTGTCCTCATCTTGTTCTGAGCCGTTAAGGAGATACAAACAAACCCGCCTCTTTTTAGGTTATTTCTGTTTAGTACAGAG